GTAAGAAAGTAGTCATTTCATTTTTTTTGCACGAATCTGTCCAATTTTCCCAACACCATTTTTTGAAGAGACTGTCTTTACCCCATTGTATATTCTTCCCTCCTTTGTCATAGATTAATTGATCATAAAGGCATGCGTTTATTTCTGGATTCTCCATTTTGTTCCATTGATCTATATGTCTGTTTTTATGCCAATACTATGCTGTTTTGACTACTATTGCCTTGTAGTACAGTTTGTAAACAGGTAGCATGATACCTCTGACTTTGTTCTTCTTTCCCAAGATGGCCTTGGCTATTTTCCAACATTTCTGTCTGGGAGAAAGCTGCCTTTTCAGTCCTTGGTGCTTTTCGAGCTGCTGCGCCAGTGCTGGAGCTAGAGTGAGTGGGTCCATCAGCAGGTAAATCCATGCACAGGCCCTTTAAGAGTAATGCCTGGGACTCCAACCACCTTTCCTCTTAACAGGATGGACAGGATCCCTGCTAATTTTCACAGTGAGACATTGTGGTGACTCCTCTTCCCAGCACTGGTGGTCCAGGTTGGGGAGCACAATGTGGGTCTGAAACACCTCACTATTCAGGGGGAACCTCCACTGCCAAGATATCCCTGCTGATTCTTAACCACCACATCTTGGGATAGAAGCAACCTGTTTTTGCATCCACATCTCCTACTAATCTCAACTTGGTTTCTTCTTTATATCCTTAATTAACAGTATTTTGCCGTGAATAATGTGCACTTTTTTGCCCAAATTTTTGATAGAAAAATAAAGATGTGCAATATACACGGGTGCTGCTATACATGGGATTCCGTATCTATATAAATGTCTTTCTTTTATTTATGCTTATACATTAAAAGTGTAACTCTAGAAAGCAATAACAATGTCTGTATGCAAAATAATACCCTGGAATACGATAATCGGTTTTGCTGAACTCCCAAAAAACTTGCATCAAAAGCAGTTTTGGCCAACGATTCAAGGAAATGAACCAAAGAAGGAAATGTTGTTATCCACAGGGTAAGATAGATGATGCTAATTGTTATATCCACCTGGTAAGATAGGTGATGAGAGTTGTTATCCACTTGATAAGATAGGTGATACTGACTTAATTATCACAGAACAACATTACTCTTCATACACTTTAGATGAGAGAAATTACTAGAAAATCCCTTGGAAAATGTTAAAATGGTTTTCATACACTGCAAGTTTTACACCAAAAGATATTAAATGTGCTAAAAAGCATGGCAGCAGAGCTGCCAAGAGGCACTTGGGACCTCCTCCCACAAGGGTGTCATTAGATTATGGGGCAACAGGAAGAAAAGCTTCTTAAATGCCAAGGCAGAGGAGGCAATGCGAGGGGAACCTCCCAAGTGGCTGGAGGTGGAGCAGGAGGAGAAGACGTAGACTGTGGAGCAGTGTCAGGCTGGGATCTCTATTTCAACCAAGATGACACAAGAAGAAGGTAAAAGGATTGCACGCATAAAAAACATTGATGATTTCTCAGGGACACCTAAATGGTACTTTAACTTTATGAAGAGAGAAGGTTTGAGTATGAGGACATGAGCAAAACCTGCCCAAAAACTTCCATCAGCCTATGAGAATCAAGTTTTGGAATTTCACTCTTATGTTATCAATCTTTGACTCATTTACAATTTTGAGCTGTCCCAAATCACCAATATGGATGAGGACCCCCTCACATTTGATGTGCCATCCAATGGAACTGTGGATGTCAAAGGAGCAAAGCCCATGGCTGTTAAAACTAGTGGTCATGAGAAAACGCATTTAACTGTTGTTCTAGCCTGCTGTGCAGATGGGACAAAGCTACCACCTATGATTACCTTTAAAAGAAAAACGTTTCCAAAAGAAAAGATTCCAAGTGGCGTTATTGTCCACATGCATGAAAAAGGATCGATGAGTGAAGAAGGCATGAAAATCTGGTTTAACAAAGCCTGGTCAGGAGGCCTGGAGGATTACTTAAAAAAACAGTTTTGCTTGGTTTTGGTCACTTCAAAGCCCATGTTACACAAAGTGCAAAAGCAATCACAGCAGACTTGAAAACCCAACTTGCCGTGATACCTGGTGGGCTAACCAGCCAACTGCAGTCTCTCGATGTGTGTCAGTAAGCAAACCCTTTAAAGCACCAAAGAAGACAGAGTGAACATAGCGGATGCAGTCAGCTGGTAATGATTTAACAGCTACAGGCAGAATTAAGAAAACATCCATCATCCAGGTTTGAGACTGGATCCTAAAATCGTAGAATGGTATCAAGAAGGAAGTGGTTGTGAAATCATTTAAAAAATGCGGCATCAGCAATGCTATGGATGGAACCGAAGACAATGATATTTACCAGGATGAGGAAAGTGACTCTTCAGAAGACCTTGGTAATGTATAAATTGAAGATGACACTTCTGATGTTGGCAGTCACAAAGAGTTCCCAGCCTTTTGTGATGTGTATCATAAATTTGTTACCAGTATATAAAAGTTCTTGTACCTTGCATCTGTTCTTGTGTTTTGTAATTATGTTACATAAAATTTCTTATATAATATGTTCAAAAATAAATGCTAAAACTCCTTTATAATACAAAAAACAAGTATCTAAATATAAATAAATAAATAATTGAATTAAAAAATTAAAACAAAAGCTTTTTTTCCTGAAAGTTTGGACCAAAAACATGGGTGCACATTATACACGGTAAAATATGGTATGTGAATTCCGTTTGGCTACTCTTCAGGTGCTTCTCCAGGGTGCCGGTTCTATAACTTGTAATTCTGATGTGGTTGTGGGAGAATGTGAGCACAGTGTTCACCTCTGTTGCCATCTTGACGAGACCTTCCTTTATATTTCTTTAACCTCTTCTTCTCTGATCCCTTCTCAACTCAGAAACACACACAAATCTTATTTATTTCTACTTAATGTTATACCAGCAAAAAAAGGTAACTGTCTTTCACTGTTGTTTTCTCTCTTAACACACAACTCCTGCCACTCTTTTTCTTCATAGGCAAGAGCTTCAAAAAGGAGTTGACACTCTTTCCTTACTTCCCCACCTCCCATTCCTCTTCAACCCCCACAACCTGGCTCCTGGCCCAACTTGCTTTAGTTTGAAACCCTCCAAACTAAAGGTCTCAGATTCCTAACTGCATATGCAGGATACTTTTCAACCTATACACATGCAGACCTCTGCAACAACGGGCTCTATTGACCAAATTCTAGAATTCTCCCCCTCCCCTAAGCCCCTTGCGCACCCTGCAACCACCGTCTCATGGATCCTTCTTCTCTCACACACATCTCGGCCGTGCTTGCTGAAACTCTCCTTCTCTCACCCATCCCTTCAGGGACTATTCCCAGAGTTCCTTGCTCCATTCTCTTCTCAGTTGTTTCGCCCTCTATTGGAAATAGCATTTGCAGTTCATGACTTGAAAAACTACATATATGCTTAAGATTCCCAGTCTACATATCCAGTTCGCAGTTCTCTTTATCACTGCTTTCAGTAAGTTTTTACCTATTTTATTACAGCTTTCAAACTTTGTGATACAAATGTTGATGTAGTAGTTATCTAGGAAACTGTTGATAAGTTAGAGCATAACTCTGAAAGAGGGACACATAATTCTGAAGAATCCTCAGAATTCCACGAACAGGGACATATGGAATAAAATAGTAATGTGGAAAATAAGTGCTTTCAGATCCTTAGAAGTTATTTTCACGTTCACCTCCATTCCTCAGTTTGCAAATTATTGCACTCCTTTCTTACATCAACGAACTGCCAAGTCCATGAGTATTATGAACACACCCATACATAGCTAAAATTTCAAATGCAAAAATCAAAAATGCTGAAGATCTCCTGTATAATTTAAAGCTTAATAAACCTGTAGGATAGATGAAAAGCACTTTCTCATGGTACTAAAAAATAGCTTTAACAGAGTTGCCTTAATAACAGATAAAGGAATAGCCTACATGTTTAAAAGGAAACAACTGGTTAATTCCAGAATAGACAGGAGAGGAGCAGTATGTAGCAATTAAATGTGTTATTATAAAAAACATACTAATGGACCCCGGCTGGTGTGGCTCAGTGGATTAAGTGCCAGCCTGCGAACCAAAGGGTCACCAGTTCAATTCCCAGTCTGGGCACGTGCCTGCGTTGCGGGCCAGATCCCCACGAGAGGGCACACAAGAGGCAACCACACATTGATGTTTCTCTTCGTCTCTTCTCCATCCCTTCCTCTCTCTGAAAATAAATAAAATCTTTAAAAAAAAACTAATGGAAAGAAAAAAATCTCATGATTTAGTAAGTTTTAAAAAGCAGTTTACTAAATATTGTATTTATTATGATCTGAGTTAAGCAAAAAAATTAATATCTCTATATATGAAAGGGAAAAAAAAATATATATATACCTAAAAAATAGTTACAATAGTTACGGTGATAGTAATACATATTTTATTATGTGATTTTTCTGTATTTCTTGAATTTTCTACAATGAAATTTTTAAATTAATGTTTAAGTCAAGAGTCAAGATTATAAGAAGACGATAAGTAAAAAATAATAATAATGATACAATATCAACTGAAAACTCTATGGTTATATCCATCTCAAGAAACACATGCCTAGGAAAAAGACTGGAATGAAATATACCAAAATTCTAACGATCTGTGTTGAAGTGGACATAATTACAGTTTACGTTTCTCCTTTCCTCCATTTTCCCCAATGCTTGGCAATGTGGTTATATTATTTTATTTAAAAAGTAATGGTTAAAAATTTTTAAGATAAAAAGGACGCAAAAGGAGCTGTGCCCCAAAAGGTGACTTTAGTTTTGTTTCTGCTTTCATTTAACAGTGAAACCTATTCACTGCGTCCTCAACCTTTCCTGATATGGAAAATGGGCACTCGACCTGCCTGGGCCTCTCCCCTTCCCACCAATCCATAAAACACAGAGCCCTGTTCTAACATCCACATCACAGTTCACCAAAGGGTTAAACTGGCCTCCCCAGGAAGGCTCCCACACCCTTTCTGACCTGCTCACATTAGATGATCTGTGCTGTCCAGAGGCCTGTTTTGTATCAAGTGATGCCAAGTGACGGCTGCTTGTCGCCATATCTGCACGAAAAGGCCTGTTGATAAAAAAGACAGAGTGGGGTTTTTATTTCCTTGTCTTACAGGAAAAGGCCACATAAATTTAAATCCACAAGTCCTTAATTATTTGGTACACCTCACCTTCATTTCTTACCAATTTGGAAAACCAAGCAACAAAAGTCTCCTCAGTTACATGGTGAACATTCCTAAAATACAGCCCCAATAAAATAAACTTATTTTTCTTTTACTCTAGTACACACACAAAAAAGAAATTAACTGAAATCACTCCCCATGGCTCTCCACCCCAAGACAGCATTGTATCTTGCATATATCCTTCCAGATCATTTCCCAAGTAAATCTATACATATCTTTTTATTTTATTAAAATGAAATATTAAGTAGAAGAGAAAATAGTTTTCCTTGACCCTCTCAGGGTCCCTGGCAAGGTCTGGAAAGTAAAGTGACAAACATATATTAACGAGAAAACCATATAAGTTGTATTGAATTTTAACATGTGCATGGGAGCCTTCACAAGCAAATGAAGACCCAAAGAAGTCAACAGAGCAGAGAGCTTTTATACCTTTTTGACAAAGAAACAATAAATTTGTGAATAATTGGCAAGACAAGGAGTTGGACTAGGGGTAGTGAATGGTGAAGAAGTAGCTAGGAAACTAAGGATTATTTTAATAAGGTTTGTTTGCAGATTCAATGGGCTGATAGGTGTCTATTTCCATTAAAAGAATTTATTTCCTGCCTTTATACAGAAACGGAGAGCTTTCTCTGCCTTTTATTGCTTCTCAATTGCCTTCAACTTAAAATAATTTTTATGTCAAAGAGGCATATTTTGGGGTGACATATTCTGGTTTCCTTCATTATAACCTTAGTTTATCCTGAATCTTCTCAACAGAGTTGCTTTATTGTAGTTACTGTCTGCACAACATTCTACTCAATGGAAGTAACAAAGCTTATTACCCAATCCTCATTTGGGGGCACAAAGGCTGTACCCAATGTTTTGTGACTACAAATAATACTGTAATAAACTCTTTTATGCACTTATGCCTGATTATTTCCTAAGAATTCCTCAATAAAAGGGTATGTATTTTGTTTTTGTTCTGTTTTTTTAAGATTTTATTTATTTTTTAGAGAGGGTAAGGGTGAAAGAGAAACATGGATGTGTGAAATATCAATCGGTTGCCTCTCACATACCCACAACGGGGGACCTGGCCCACAACCCAGGTATGTGCCCTGACCGGAAATCTAACCTCTAACCAGGACCTTTTGCTTTGGGAGAGGATGCCCAACCCACTAAGCTACATCAGTCGAGGCAAAGGCGTGTATTTTGTAAGGTATCTTAGTTGTAATAAACTGCTTCATTTCCATTATATACGAAGCAGGGCAAAGGTAGATTTACAGTTGCTCATGTGAAAAAAAGACATGTAGGTTTTAGTTATTACAATAGCTTTACTAACTGTGTTTCTCTCACAACTGTAAACCTACTTTTGCCCCCCTGTACATACCTCTGTGCTGAAGTGACAGGGAGGAGCTCCACACCAATCTGGTTTACAGAATCTTAAGCCACTTTATTGACACAGAGCCATTCAAAAGAAGGAAACTTCCAGAGTTTAAGAATAAGCTCACCTTGTATTGTAACAAAATCCAATCTCCTTCTGCTTCCATTCACCTTAAGAGTATTCATCCCATAAAGAAAGCTTATTGACTATCCATTTAGAGAAGCTTTATTTTTTAATTCTAAAATATATAATCCCTCAATTAAGTGGAGTCTGATTATATTCCACCTTTCAAACTTCCCAGTACCCTCTAATATTTTACATTCAACAATCATCTTATCCTGAAGAGATCAAGTTTCCTAAATTTTATACGTCAGGTTAGAGGAAAATCAAGGCTCTTCTTATAAGAGTGGTTGGGTGGGTCTACTTTATTCAATGTCTTTTTAGGGGTGGAGAGGACTGATATTATTTTACCTTCACTCTTAGTTATGAATTTTAGAATAAGTTGTTATGAAATTACCAAAAAAAAAGTCCTATCATGGTTTTTATTGGGATTTCATTACATTTTTAGCAAACCTTGCAGAGAATTATCTTGTCTGTTTCACTCCTGAGCATAACAAAGATGTTATACTGAGATGTTAGAAGAAATGCATTTTTAGCTAGTGAAAATACTATTTGGTTGATAGATGCTAATGAAAACGACGCATCGTATTTCAATTACAGGTACTAGTGTGCTGGAAAATGTCTGTATTTTCCCGTTTTTACTGTTCTAACTTTTTTTAAGTTTCTAAAAAGCTTTATTGAGATATAATTCAGAGAAGACACAATTTGCTCATGTAACATATACAATCAATAGTTTTTAATATGTTCATACTCATAGCACTGTACAACTATCACTACAATCTAATTTTTAAAATATTTTGTCACCCAAAAGGAAACCCTGTATTCATCCATTAGCAGTCATTCCCCATAGTTGTAGGCAACTACTAATCTACTTTTTGTATCTACAGATTTGCCTATACCTGTTTTTTTCACTTAGCGTAATGTTTTCAAGATTCATTCATGTTGTTGCATGTATCGGTACTTTATTTTATTGCCAAATACTATTTTATTATATGACTATAACACATTTGGTTTATCTTTTCATTACTTGATGCATATATGGATTAGTTCCACTTTTTGGCTATTATGAATAATGCTTCTATTAACATTAATGTACAAGTTCTTGTATGGAAATATATTTCATTTTTCTTGGGCATATACCTAAGAGTGGAATTGCTGAGTCAAATGGTAACTCTATGTCTGACATTTTGAAAAATTGCCAGACCATTGTTCAAAGTGGCTGTGTGATTTACAATCCTACCAGGAACATACGAGAGTTCCCATTTCTCCACATCTAGGCCAATGCTCATTATTATCCATCTTACTGATGCAATGGTATCTCATTGTGGTTTTGCCTTGCATTTGTCTATTGACTAATGATATTGAGCTTCTGTTTAGGTACTTAATGGCTATTTTTGTATCTCCTTTGGAGAAATGTCTACTCAGGTTATTTGGCCATTTGTTAATTAGGTTATTTGTCTTTTTATGTTTGTGTTTTTATACTGCTCTAATTTTTAGTCACAACATAGAATTGTTTTTAAATGAAAAGCTTATGGCTATCTTTATTTATACTTTTTCTCTTACTGAAATCATAACCAGCAGAATCAATTCAAATTTAATTTCTCTAGTAAATTCAACACAATGTGCTATGTTTCTGCATGATGAAAAGCCAGCCCAGTTGGAAAAGAAAAAAATGAAGTAAAATTTCAAAAATTAACAAAAAGACAATATCCCTCAAGCTCTTTCATCAAAGTTAAAAATCTCTCCTTAACAAAAGAGAAAGAGTAACTGGATATAGGTCAATGTTATCCTACGAGAGGCATCATTTCTATAATCTGCAATCTGAATGGTGTCCACTGGAGTTATGAACACAAGACTCCAGTGTATACCACCACCAGATTCCTAGGAAATCTACTGCTTAATATCATTGACCGTATGATCAGCTTGTCTTTCTCTCTAAAGAAAACTGTTCACCAGACCAAATTCTGCCCAATGGGCAATTCCTTCAAATAGCCATTCTCACAGCCACTGGTTAGAGAGGAGAGGTGCTGCCGTTGCCACACAGAGAGCAAGAGCAGCCCAGGAATTAACAGGCACTCCCCACATACCTCTGACTGTCAATTTCAACCCAGGTCTGTCACTAGTGCTGTCAGAACCCAAGGAAAGGAATTCAACATTTTCTCGCCGTTCTCATCCTGTTCCTTCAGAGGGTAAGATCTAAAAAGCTGAAAAAGGCCAAAGGGCAAGCCCCAGCAAATGACATAATTCTTCTATTTAATGAGATACTCTTGAATTTACAAACTAGATAACGTGCCCCTAAATAACCTATGCTTAGACTTATTACAAAGACATACTCAATCAAAACTATGAATCTTCATATTGTCTGTAGGGCTTGGATGATTTTTATATTCTTTGTGCTTGTCTATGTTGTTTTTTCATATTTCAAAAATGATCATACACTATTTTTAATAATTGGGGAAAGTTAAGTCATATATATTTGAACAATTTAAGTTCAAATTCATGAAGGGAATATTGAAATATTAATTTAAGGAAGCACCCTCTGAGCATCCTTTTATACTACACATAACTTAAAATAGTTCTGAAAAATATGCAAGAACAAACAGTATAATATTTAGTCCTTTCTAAGTGAAGAAGTCAGAATACATCACTACCCCATGTGTTTCCAATGTGATTTTAGACATTTTAGAACTCTTGTAAATCCTCACTACTTTGAAGAAGTTATTTCTTAAATGTTACAATTTTTCTAATGTTGCCTTATTTCCTCTATATATAACACACTTCAATGTTATTTTAAGCTTTGAATCTAAAACAGTTGTAATTCTATATTCCTGAATTGCCTCCAAACGTATAACTTTATATATACATTTATGATCTTGACCTGATTTGTAATGTATCTACCTTTGCTAAAAATAAACCATGATTTATTTTTATTGAAAGGAGCTGGCCCTCACAGGAGAGCGGTCGCAGCCATCAGCAGGCACTCTCAGGAGTTCTCCACACCAGCCGCACTGGCAGCTTTGGCAGTTCGGGAAATGGAATACACAGAGCCTGTGTGCATGACAGAGAGCAAGTGTTCTCCCAGCCCATGGTGCAAGATGGCGAGGGACAGGTCCATCGAAATAGATGGGTTTATAACTACTTAAACAGCTTCATGCCAAGTATTTCCCTTTACCCTGTTCACTTTTACATTTTTATCAGAAACTGGGATTAGATGGAAAAAACAAGCCAATCAACTCTGCAGAAAAAATTAAGCTGGGAATGGACCATAATTTAAAAGGATAATGTACTAAATGGATCAGTTAAATTTCGTAAACTAAAGCTTAATTTTCACTCATAAACGTTTAGGAAACACCATGTTACAGGCAGTGTATCAGGTTCTAGACACATGAAACCATACAGTTCATGTTC